TGTCCATAAGGACTGTTTTTATTTTGTCTTCATGCAATTTTTCTCACATTGAAGATTACTCTGCATTTGAAATAATAAGGAAAAATTGGAGGGTCTTTTGATTTAGTGTCCGTTGTTCATTGAGCCATCCTTACATTTCTACTACAGTATTTTATTTAAAAAATACAAAAGCAATTCCTACCATTACAACTGATGCAATTACAACAGACATGTGGTATCACATAACAGTTAGATATACTACAAGTGTAATCATAATATAAGTAACATTTATTGTAATATTAACCTTATCATATTATTACAATAAATTATCAATGATATAAATGTTAGTTCTAATTCGCAGCTTTAACTTAGACATGTGGCATCAGCACAAATCACAGACAAAATCACAAAGAACAGTCATAGACCTTTCGTGAATATCACCCCTGGAATCTAGTTTGATAGATTATCAAGTTTTCAGTTCTTGATTGCTAATATTTTTGTGCTTATGGTATTCTCAGTAAAAGGGTATTTTTACCTTTAAATTTTGCAGTATTTTTTATGTAACTTGCAAAATATGTAAAAAAAAAAAAAAAAAAAAAAATCAGATACAATATGTTGATACAGAACAAATGCTGTATTTGTTGTTTTTCTCTGTGGATATATGAAAAACAGAAAGATAAGGAAATTGACAACTGTTCAGTTTTCTTTTCTGTTGCAATGAATGTATTGAAAATGAAAGAGTTTCTTTCCTACCACTGTCCACATTCTAGTTATATTAGACCTATTTAGAAGTATTACCATGAGGGATAGCTAGCAATATTTTTCATAGGAGAAACAAAGTATTGAACTAGTTGAAACAAATATTCACATTTCAAGATTATTAGAAATTTGAACTTCTATAGTTATATCAGTAATATCACAAAAAAGAAAGATTTATCATGGATACTCTGGGAGAATTTGGGATAGTATGCACAGCCAACTGGGCTTGCCCTTTTTCAGACATGAATGTTGCATTATACTTGCCATGGAGTACCAGCAGCATTATATAGTAATATATATTATATATATATATATATATATATATATATATATATATATATATGACCACATATGCAAAACATGATTTTAATGTTTTTGCCTATTCAGATATGCATGATATGCATTTAGTTGCTAAATTGAATCTGTAGTAGCCTGATTAGAGTCCAGTAAATAAGGTGTTACACTCTCTGTATTAGATGGAAGTGGTTTAATTGAGGGATAAGAATAAGTGATTGTATGCAGTGATACACAAGCCTTCAGTATGGCTTCAGTACTTCCCTTTTTTGTGTCATACTTCATGACATTAATACTGGCAGAGTGCCAAAATACAAAAAGTGTTGTTTACAAGAGGAGACTGATCACATAAAGGAGAGTGTAGGACACCAACAAGGTCACATCAGCCTCAAGAGAGTACCATGTTTTGGTGCATGATATCTTTCAGACATAACAGGCAAATGACTGATGTACTAAAATTCACCCTTTATACAAAACCATAGCTAATCACAGCATTGCCTCATGCAGTGACCATGGCTGGTATAGGCATGTGGGTTCCTTATATAGAAATGCATAAAATGTAATGCATGCATCATTTTAACATGTGAATGACCCATCACCCGGAGCCAAGGCCAAGTCAGCCATGACATGAATGTCATATCATCCAAAGGAAAAGGGTTAAAATTCATGAACCATATTTTATTTGATAAATATATATAGGAGGATTTTTTTTTCTCATAGGAATATCATTAATTTGTATATTTTTCTCATTTTATTTTCCTAAACATAGAAGCTTGTACAAACTTATACTGGTATATCTTCCTAATTTTGTCAAACAAAAAAACAAAAGCACACAGTTATGCTGGTGTACCTGCTTAATTGTGTCAAACAGGAAAACAATAGGCAGACCATACAAACATTTGGAATTGATAGTAATAAATACATTTTGTATAATTTATATCATACACAGTTTCCTGTAAACTGATGTCAAGATAACTTATAAGACAAAATTGTACTTGACACATCTTACTTATATTGTAAAATTAAGAAGCATAAGAAAAAACTCCTCTTCAAAGTACATGATTATTCTATGAATAATTGTCAATACAAGTTTATTTTCTTACATAAATCTAGATATAATGAAAACAGTTCATGTAATAACATTCTGATGAAACAAGATATAAAGTAAAAATCTAAACAGTAATAGTTGCAGTGATGAGCCTTGAAGAAACCTGCTCCTCTTTAGTCATTATCTTCAACTATAAATGGCGTACTTCTTTTTATCTACCTGAAAAGAGAAAGATATGGCTGATAATAAGCAGTATAGATCTGTTAAATGGCATATAGGTTATGTTACAGTAAAAAATCATTACTGCCACTAATTGTAATTACAATTACTTGCTACACATAGAAAGCAAACATTGTATGCATAGGAATAATAGTACTGCCATATTAAATATTGATAAGTTTATAGGAAAGAGTGCACGATTTTTCATTCCAGGGCCTGAAAAAATTAAGTTTTGGGATTCCTTTGCATCCACATTGGGTTTTATGTATTAGCAACAGATATTTTTAAAATCCTTGCAAGAAGTTACAGACAGATATTTCAACTTTACAATCTTTCAGCAACTGGATACATATCTTATTTCATCCATTTGCATTTACAAGTACATCTACAATTGCCCCACTGGCTTCACTCTGTCTTAAATACATGCATACTGGGAGATGGATAAATGCACTAACTGATTTGCCCAATATCACTGTTGACTGCATGGGCATACATGCCAAGCCCACTGAGAGTTAGTTAATTATCTTTACACATATATGGCTCCACATGTTTAGTCATCAATGAGTCAATTACTAGTACTACTTACCTCATATATTTATGCATCCTTGATTTTTGGAAATATTTTCTTTTCTCTTATATTGCTATTAGTAATGTTGATAATATGATAATTATAATGTCTAATGATAATAACAGGAATGATACTGATAACATTAGTATTTAAAAAATCCTGGCTGATCACTTGTGTAGCCATCTATGTGTAACATTTCATAAAACGATACTACAGTGATATTTAATTATCCCAGCAGCAGTGGGTTTAGCAGATCAGGATCACAGACACACATGCATGCGCACACCCACACACACAACACATAACCACCACAGCACACACACATACACACGCACGCACACAAGAACGCAACCCTCCCCCCCACACACACACAAATATCCTCAATTAGTACACATTATACACATCACATAAAAATATGCACACATAATTACATTACAGATACTTCTTTCTTACAGATACATAAAGTAGTAATTTCTTTGCTCTATAGTAGTGTCATGCAGCCGGTTGTTAGAACTGACCCAATGAATATTCATATATACAGCCATGCATATTCGCAGAAATAAATGCATTTCTGTTTATCGATCTATCTTCGATCTATATCTATCTATCTAATATCTCTAATCTATCTATCTATATCTATCTCTATCTATCTCTATATCTATATCTCTAATCTATCTCTATATCTCTATCTCTATCTCTATCTCTATCTCTATATCTATCTCTATATCTATCTCTCTATCTCTATATCTATCTCTAGTAGATATGCATGCATAGACTAACAGATATGCATTTACTTTAATGTATATGCATGTCATTACATTGAATATTCATTGGTTTGGGCCTTGCACAATTTTAACAAACCTGCTGATGGTCTCATGTTTGTGGTTCACAAAGATTCTTACCCAGTAACTGAACTTTAAGACAACCTTGCAGTCCTGAACTGGTGGATGATGTGCTGTTTGACTCTGGAAAACCTAAAGTACAAATGTAATTAAGTCCTTTGTTTATATTTACAATTAGAAAATACTAGAAATTTTTCACACCTGAGCAAAGTTATTTTGAGTCCTGGTTAATAATAAATCCTATATTTCTATAAGTAAACATGTTAAGCTAGGCTGGAGGTGATACTTTAATACAGTTGTTCATATCTGTAACCTAAAATGAATTTCTGCCATAAAATATGACATCAAGATAGTTTTTCTATTAATGTGTAATAAATTTTATGTATAATCAATGGTTAATGGTTAAAAAGCAAAATAAATGTGCTAGACATCTAAGGTCATATAGCACTATAGGAAAGTATATTAAAGGAGGGATGAAGAGTGATAGTTGCTATCATCAACTATCTAGAGTGATCTTGAAAGGTTAAAGAGGGTAAAGAAGTTGGTGTGTGAATGGGCTATAGTGGGTTTAGGTAAGGGAATTACCCAAGTGTTTCACGTGTGTATCCAGGAAGGAGTGGAAATGATAGAGGGGATGGTGGGAGGGAGAATGTATGTGTAGTTGAAGTTGAGGGGGGTGGGTTGTGTTGGGAGGGAATAGGAAGAAGTGGTGTAGGGGGAATACAAGTAGGAGGAGGATGGGTGTCCAGAGGATGGATATTGGCAGTAGTTGGAGTTGAGGGGGGTGGGTTGTGTTGGGAGGGAATAGGAAGAAGTGGTGTAGGGGGAATACAAGTAGGAGGAGGATGGGTGTCCAGAGGATGGATATCGGCAGTAGTTGGAGGTGAGGGGGATGGGTTGTGTTGGGAGGGAGCAGGTGGAAGGGATGTAGGGGGAATATGAGTAGGAGGAGGATTGATATCAGTAGTATTAGGAGGATGGATATCAGTAGTATTAGGAGGATGGATATCAGTAGTATTAGGATGGATAGATATTGGTAGTAGGCAGAATTGAGAGGGAGTAGGGGGAATATGAGCAGGAGGGGGATGGATATCTGCAGTCACTTTGAGTGTGGAGGGAGCATGAGTTGTGGAATTTTGTGTCTCAAGCATATAGCTTTGAATATCTTCCAAAGTTTCTGTCGTGGAGTTAGTTGGAGAGTTTTGTGAGACAAAGGTTTTCTTATGAGGGGTGTAGAGGACACTGATGTCTGAGAATTATAGGCAAAGGTAGGTGGAGGTGAGTGGGCGGTATGGAGAAGAAGGGGGGGATCGTTTAGTCTGTCAGCAGCGGGTAGTGCAAAGGATTGGGGGGGGATATATATAGTCAAAGTAAAGGAAAAATCAGGAGCATAATTCAGACACCAACTGATTACATGAAATGGGTCAATTATGAAAATATGAAAATATATTTTGAAACAAATTTTAATAACTTCTTTTTATTTTATGAAGAAACAGTAAAAAAATTATTCATAAAAAAAATGTGATGATTTATCTTTATGGGTTCTATAACAAAATGTAATAAATATCAGTAAATTTGTTCAATGTTCACTAAGTATTAGAAGACACTAAAAATTCCTGCCTTAGGTGACACCATTCCAAATGTAATTTTCCTAATAATATTGGTTAGATAATATTAACTTGACTCATTTCTTCAAACCATAAAAAGATTAGGGTCCCCATTTCCTCTATTAAACACACACCAATGAGGATGGCATGTGCATACATGCCATGTCCACTATGTGTTTAATTTAGTAATTGTTTTTACACATAGATGGCTCCACGAGTACTTTGTCACCAATAAGCCAATTACTAGAACTACCTATCTCACCCATTTACCCTTTTCCTTGATTTTTTATTATATTTTCTTGTGTTTGATATTGCTGTTAGTAATGTCAATAACACTCTAGTAATCATGATGTTTATGATAAAAATAAGAGTATCAATATTGATAGCATTAGTAAAAAGAAATGTTTTTCCTGCAAACTCAGGGAAAGGCGTAATCAGTTGAGGTCACAAGATCTACTAATTGATTCCTTTGTGGTTAAGCACTGGCAGAGCCATCTGTGTGTAGAGACATTTTACAAAACAATACTACAGTGAACACATTTTCCGGGGGGTATTGGGTTAACTTAAATTTCACATTGTACAAAAGGTGCAAAGAATTCCAATGAATACTTTTCATATTCAGCAGCTAACTGTATTGTATTACATGTTGGTCAATGGATATTGTAAAGCTGATTTGTTCCTTCATTAATTAACACATGCCAGTCTCGTCTATTTGACAGTATCTAATCAAAATTTACTTTACATAGGTCTGCAGGTGCTTTGGTAAGGTTTTGATTAGTTAATTGAAGTTAATGGTTACAAAAGATAATAAACTGGCCAGACATCAAAGGTCATTTAGTACTACAGACACATGTATTAGTGAAAAGGGTAAAGCAGGGGGTCAGCTGATGATTAAATGTGCTACACGTCAGAAGTTGTACAGCAGTTCAGGAAGTTAGGTATTAACAAGGGTGATTAGCTCAAAGTTGTTAAAGGGATTGTGGGATTCTGCAAGGATATCCATAGGATGAGGTAGAGATTAGCAAAAGGAGAAAGGGGTTTAAGAAAAATTAAATCAAAATTTCAGAAAAATGTCAGGAGGGAGAGAATCCAGGGAAGGGGGTTATTGTCAAAAAGGGTCCAGGGGGAATTGGAAGAGATAATGGGGAAGGAAGGGGGGGATGATGTAGCTGAAGCAGGGGGGAATGGGATGTGTTGGGAAGGAGTATGAGGAAATGGTGTAGGGGAAACATGAGTAGGATGATGATGGATGTTGGCAGTTTTAAGTGTAGAAGGAGTGAGAGCAAAGAGATTGGAGGATGGATGAGCTGTAGACATGTTATCTTGGGCCAGATTAGATAGTTTTGAATGTCTTCAAGAGTTTCTGAAGTAGAGTTGGTTGGGGAGGTCTGAGAAACAGGTTTTCTTACGAGGGGGAGAAGAGGGGACAAACATTTGCAGGTTGAGGGAAAGGTTGATGTTAGAGAGGATGCAGTAGAAGATGGGGTGGAATGTTTAGCATGTCTTGTGCAATGAGTTGGGCAAGGAGGAAGAGGGGTAGGTACTAGGGAAGTAAAGATTTGAGTGTCTGGATTAGTGGTGGAGATTAGGGTGTTTGAATTTAGAATGGCAAAAGAATTTGACTGAGGAAGGGAGGGGGTAGGAATGGGATGAGGTAGAGATACTGAAGGAGGTGTAGAAACATCATGGAAGGGTGGGGGGAGGGGCAGAGTAAAGGCCAGTACTGGTGCATGGAGTAAGAGAAAAACCTTGTCTGCATGCTTCCTGTCTGGCCTCACAAAAAGTGAGGCCAAGATTGCATCTGAGAATTGCTACCTCAGACTCAAAACCTGTATTTATGGCAACCCCTATGAAATACTTTATGGGAGCCACAACATTTGCCACATGTGCAAGATTGTTCAGAGCAGTTTGATCAATCATGACCAAGATGGGCAAACAGTAGGCATTGGACTGTGGCACAGCAGTTTTTGGCAGGATGGCCTAGACGCCAACAATTCTGACGTTGATGGAAGAGAGGTTGATACGATCAGACAAGGAGGGAGTCTCTGCCAATGTAAACATTAAGGGGTAGGTCATGTCTACGGAAAGTAATCTTGGAAATATTGGTGGAGGACTTACAGCAGCCTCCAGGGGGAATGGTGTAGCATTGTACTGTATAATAGTCAATGAGGCAGGCAAGTAAGTCTTCTCCACAATCTGACCAATCTTTGCTGAAGACAGGGCATTTTTTGTTGAGATCATGACAGTTCCAGTAAAGGTATTGAGAAACGGATGGGGCTGAGCAGTAATGGGTTTGCCAGTGAAGTCAGTTAAGGTTGATAATGCTTTAGCTCAGGCTTCAGATGTAAATGAGACGAGGCAGGAATGATCAGGGCAGCTGCAAAAGGAAACTTTGCTTACCTGTTTTTTGGAAGTATTGCTGGAAGAGGAGAATATTGTCAGAGTAAGGGGGTGCAGAGGGGATTACAAAAAATCAATCCCATTTAATCCAATTTGGCTGGGCTGAACAGAGCATTCAAAAGGTTTGTAGGAGTGGGGTTAATAGAAGGGCAGGAACATATGGAAGAGAGAGTACTGAGGACTGGTGGACAATAAGGCTACAGAGTAGTAATAGGGGAGGAAAGGATAGTGGATGAAGAAAGCTGTGGGAGTGGAGGAGATGAAGTAGAGGTTAGTGGGAGGGGAGTGGTTTTAAGGAGCTTAATAAAGACCTGGGTGGACCTTTTGGACTGGAATGAGGTGATAGTAAGCATTGAGGATGGGGTAGTAGTAGCAAAGTAGTAGTAGTAGTAGTAGTGGTCAAAGAAGAACCTGGGGTCAGGAAATTGGGAGAATTTAAAACTGTGGGGCTAGCTGATAAAGGGGCAAGCCTCGGTACCCCTAATAAGGGAGTAAAGTCTTGATAAATGGCCATAGTGAGTCTGGAGCATGGGGAGAGACAAAGTCAGCCTTTCATCCTTTCAACACAGTTCTCACACCTTAGGGAGTGGATAGTAGAAAGAGGAAAAATAAAAGACCATGCAAAATTAGTCGCGTCGAGGACTGAGGCCCATGGCAGAGATGACCCCCAGCTTTGGATCCCAATTTTCATCTCCTTACCCCTCCCCACCAAGTTACAATGGGCATGGGATAGGTGGGGAGGTGATTAGTAATGTAAATAAATCAACTGAGACATAAAATTTGGAGTTTAATCCTGGTACAGATTTGATAAAGCACCAACTTATATTTACCAAAAAAATGCATTCTGTTAAGCCATCTGATTCAGTAGAGTATCATGACATTCATTTCCTTCAACTTAAATGATACCTATCTGATTTTTAAGTCCCTCCTTTTGATTATAATTAGTAAAAATAAGAAAGCCAAAAAATCTGAATTTTGTATTTTCAAAAATACTTACATGTATCCTAAGAAAGACTGCGGAAAAATTAGAATAAAAATATAAAGCTCTACTAACTATCCTCCTTCAAGCAGATAAACAGTTATTCAAGAAATTGTAGTCATTCATACGTAACACATAGTTCTGTGTTCATTTGTCTCTCAAGATGACCAAGGAACAAAATAGGAAAATAGAAGCATCAAAAAGTCTTTAATAATAGATCAACCTTCAATGTAGGACCAACTATAAATAATGAAACTAAATTCATAAAGAATAATTTCTAAGCAAAATAAATGTGTTACACATCAGAGGTCATTAAATGTGCTACAAATGAAGAAAAAAATGTAAAGCAATTCAGGATAGTATGGCATTGGAAGGGGCAAAGAGAGGTAAGGGTAGAGAGGGTGAGTAAATAAGTTAAGATAGGGATTAACAAGGCAGCTGACTGTATTGTATTACATGTAGGTCAAGAATATTGTAAAGCAGAGTTTGTTCCTTCATTAATTGAGACATGCCAGTCTTGTGTATTTGACAGTACCTAATCAAAATTTAATTTACTCTGGTCTGCTGGTGCTTTGGGAAGGAAAATGAATGTGCTAAACATCAAAGGTCATGTAGCACTGCAGAAAGGTGTACTAGTGAAAAGGGGAAATGGTTAATGGTTAAAATAAATGTGCTAGACATCTAAGGTCATATAGCACTATAGGAAGGTATAGTAAAAGGGGATGTCTATGTGTCAACTATCTAGAGTAGTGTTGAAAGGTTGAAGATGGGGGAAATGGTGGTATTTAGTTTAAGGGAGTTAGATCAAGTGAAGGATATTCATGCATCTGAGGAAGGAGAACAGGTTGTCAAGGCAGAAGCTGTGGGATTCTGTAAGGATATCTGATATGTTGGGAGATCGGTGAAGGGAGGATAGGTGTGGAAAAGCAGAGGTACGTGCTGTATTAAAGCGTGGACAGGACAAGAGAATGTGTGGAACTGAAATAGGGACATTACATAGAGGACATAGGGGCGGGTCTGAACGTGACATTAGATAGGCGTGTGTTAGGTGAGTGTGGCCAATACGTAAGTGTGCGAGGGCCGTCTCCCAACATCTGTTTTTGTGAAATGGAGCTGACCAAGAGGAGATTGATGGTTTTACAGTATGTAATTTATTGTTGTGGAGTCTTTACCAAAAAGACTGCCATCGGTTATACAAGAAGGTTTTAAAGTGGGGGTAATAATCCGTAGCTGGAATATGTGAGAAGCGTAGTTGAGGTGATGTGGACATTGCGGCATAGCGTGGAAGAGTATCTGCCTGTTCATTGCCAGGGATTCCAACATGGTTGGGTACCCAGCAAAATCTGACAGATTTGTGCCGCGTGGATAGATAGAACAACCAGTTCTGGATCTTACAGACAAGGGGATTGGTCGAGTGTATAGACTTTATGAGGGTTAAAGAGTTACGGGAGTCAGTAAAAATAGTAAAAGAGGAAGAGGGGGATGAGTATGTGTCTTAAGGCAAAAAGGAGTGCATACAGTTCTGTAGTAAGGACACTAGATTCAGGAAGGAGGGTGTATTTGAAAGTGCAGTTTGGGAATGTTACTGCGAATCCAGCTCCTGAGATGGATTTGGAACCGTCAGTGTAATCATGAATGCTGGAGGAATGAATGGAGACATGGTCATGGAAATGAGTGAGAAGGATAGAGGGGGGAATATCTGATTTTGGTGGGTCAGGGAAAACTGAGGAAAAATACAGGGGTTAGGTATAAGCCATGGAGGAGGAATGGAATGGACAGAACGTGGGAGATGTTGGAGGTGAGGAAAGGGGGAATGGGAGAGGAGTGTATCCATACGTACGGGAGTGGAGTTGGTAAACGTGGAGAAGAGGTAAAGGTATGAAGCAAGGATTGTGGAATAGTTAGTTTGGTAAGGGAAAATTGGTGAAATCGAGCATAGCATCGGAGAGAGAGAAGTGCTCGACGTCGAGAGAGGGACGGCATGCCAGATTCAGTATATAGGCTCTCAACTGGAGAGGAGCGGAAGCTCCTAGGGCTAAGCGGAGACCGCTGTGGTGGATTGTATCAAGGTGAGCAGCAAAGAGAGAGGTTGAGGCAGAGGAGTAGAAATGGCATCCATAATCTAGAGTGGAGAGAATCAAGGTAACATGAAGATGGAGGAGAGTTTTGCGATCTGAGCCCCAGGAGATGTGTGAAAGAGTTTGTAAGATTCAGAGGCAGCGTTGAGCTGTGAAAAGGGGAAAGAGACGGGTGATTACATCAAAGTTGTTTAAATGAGGAAGTGTGGGATTCTACAAGGATGTCTGTAGGATAAGGTAGGGAATAGCAAAAGGAGAAAGGGGTCTAAAGGTGATTACATCAAAAATTTAGGAAAAATGTCTAGAGGGAGAGAATCCAAGAAGAGGGTTGTTGTGACAAAGGAAAGCATGTATCATGGATATGGAAAGGTAGGATGAGCTGGGGGATTGGGAGGGCAAGGGGGAAAAGGATGTAGGGAAAAATATGGTTAGGAGCAAGATGGATGTTGGCAGTCACTTTGAGTGTAGAGAGAATGGGAGCATTATTAGATAGTTTTCAATGTCTTTGAGAGTTTCTGAAGGGGCTGAATGAAGGACAGTGCTTAAGTAGGAAGCAATAGAAAAACCTTATCTGCGTGCTGGCCTCATATAAAGTGAGGCCAAGTTTGAATTTGAGAATTGCCACCTCAGACACAAACTTGTATGTAGGCCTGCCCCTATAAAGTACAAAGTGGGATCTGCACATGTAATTGTTCATAGTAGTTTGATCAATCATGACCAGGTAAGGGTTGATAATGCTTTACCTTGGGATTCAGATGTAACTATGACAAGGCAGGAGGCTGCAGAAGGAAGCTTTGCCTACCTTTTTTGGAAGCACTGCTGGAAGATCAGTGTTGTCAGAGTAAGGATCACAAAAAATTTATCCCATATGGCTGGGCTAAACAGAGTACTTTTAGCAGAGGAAGTGGTGCTGAGTGAAGCAGTACTGTGTACAGTACGCACTAAAGAGGGGGTAGTAGCAGTGTTCAGAGTCATGGTTAAAAGAGAGCCTGGAGTCAAGAAATCAGGGGAATTAATATCAGTGGGACTACTCAATAAAGGGGCAAACCTCATTGACCCTAATGAAGTGCAAAATCATTACTGGTCATGGTAAGCCTAGAGTTTTTTGGTGAGAGAAATGGTCTACCCCTCAGGGTCCCCTTGAGGGTAAGGATAACTAAATGGGAATACTGTGCCCATGGCTCCCCTGGGCTGTTCATGATTGGCACAGAGTCAGCCATTCTTCCTTCTAACACAGCTCTCACACCTTGGGAATTGGAAAGGAAAAGGGAAAAGGGAAGACCATTCAAAATTTGTTGAGTTGAGGGCTCACACCCAAGGTAGGGCTGATCCTTAGCATTGGGCCTCAGCCTCAGTGTCCTAAGCCCTACCCACCACCAAAAACAAGCATGGGATTCAGGGGACATTTATTAAAAACAAATATGAAAAATAGCTTAAGCTTTGCTTGTGGCTATAACAAGACATAGTCATATCTGTTAACCTGATGTTGCCAGGGAAACGCAGTTTTCACAGTAGGAAAAGGGTAAACAAGTGAAATAGTTAGCACTAGTAAGCTAATTGACTCATTGGTGACTACATACTTGTTAAAGTCATCTATCCATAAAGGCAATTACTAAACAGTGAGCATGGCATGTACATACATGCCATCCCCGGCAAAATCAGGAAAAAAAAATTATGTGCAATGACGTCTACTATTATTGTTGCATGGATATACAAAAGTAACAATTGCAGTACCAGTACTGCCATTTGTTAACAAAACTTGTAAACATTCTAGGTTTCACAAGCATATCAATTTCAATATCAATCAATACATCATCCAAATGTCTTTCAATGTTGTGTTACATGTAAATCATGCTTTGTTTAAAAATGCCAAACATAGATATTGTTTTATATTCAATAATTAAGAAAATTCACCTGGACATTGCTTGTGCTTGTTGTTACATCAGTAACTGGAGAAACTTCTATTTCACTGCAAACTCTGGCACGCTTTGGTGCTGGTTCTGGACTGTTCATTGGTGTGTGGTAAACATCTTCATCTTGTAAAGTTGTATCTTCAGATGTGTCAGTAACTTTGTTTCTTTCCTCAATCTCATTAGTTTTGTCTAAAAATTCATTAGAGACTTTTCTCTTTTTCTCACAGCATTTTGTAGATGAGTTAATGTTAGTCAAGGCCTGATGTCTTGATGATTTGGTTGAACATTTTCTTGGGCTAATTTTGATTCGAGAAGCAAGGTCATCTGAATCTGTTAGGTCTTCAACTTCTCTAGCAATACTTACCAATTTTCTTTTGTATTTGTCTCTTTTCTGTAGCACTTCATCACAAATCACAAGTTCACAAATCTCTATCTCTTGTTTTTTACCTTTAGATTGATCTAAACCTTTGCCTTTCAAAGTACGTATGTTCATTATGTCTCCCATTTCAGGATTCACAGAAGCACTCTGGTCACAAAGAGTATAGTAGGTGGTATCACTATCAGTACCATCATCTGCATGCATATTGCCTTCATGTTTTAAGAAATTTGTACACAAATATTTGTGTCTTTGGTTTTACATTTTCTTTATTTGTGTTTTTCCATTCTGGTTCTTCTAAATATGTGCCTGGGTCTTCCTTAAATTGTCTTTCTGAAAGTTCAGGAGTTTCTGGTATAACATTTATATTTTAACAAACTCTCTGGAAACATTGTAAATTGTCACAATCATCATCCCCATTGTCTTCTTGAGATGATGATGACACATAAGTAATAATTTCAGGTTTTAACTGAGAAAGCATATTTTCATTATTTCTAGACTGTTTTCCCCTATTATAAGGAGTTTTACATCCAATTTTGCTGTAGTTTTGTTTGTTAGTTTTTTACAAAGTATTTGTCTTATTTTTATCTAAATCCTGTTTTTGCTGATTAACTGTACTACTGGAAGTGCTACCAGATAGTCTGAGAGTTTCACAATCTTCACTTGAAGTTTCCGACAGTACACTGCCTGCCCTCCACATTACAAAATTTGATGATCTTCCATCATTACTGGGATTTCTGTGGCAATGATGTCTTTCTAATTCACTCCCACCGCTTGTCTTTGGTTCAAAATGCCCCTGATCTTCATCTGGAGTTTTGGGGTCTGTATCTCTGAGTTCCCGTCTATCTTTCATGATTTTTAATTTATATTTAAGTTTTGTAACATACTTTTCCATTGTCCTTATCAATTCTTCTAATTCCTAATTTCTGAATCCTCATATCTTGCTTTCTGTAATCTTGGATCTTTCATTTGTGAGATCATATTCACTGTCATCAGTTAGAATATCTTGGGAGTTCACAGCCAACACTTTAGTGGTTTTACTTCCCATACTTTTCCATTGTGAACTATGATTTCATTGTCATGCCTAAAGTAAGATGCTTCCTGTTGTTCCATATCATCTGCAATACCTTCTTCAGCACTGTCTTCAGATAAAGACTCTATACAACTTGATTCTTGACATCAACTGGGACACTTGCACATTTCTTAACTGTCCAGAGTTTACCATTGACTTGAATAATATCCATCTCTTCATGAATTGTTATATCAGAAGAATCTATCTGACTCTCATGCTCTGCAGTGGATTAGGACTGCCATGGTTTTCCTCATCAGTATGTGGATCAAAAATCTGATAACTCTCTTTTGCAACTGACAATTTCTTCACAGCATCTTTATAGAATTCCCAGTGAGACTGTCTTTGATGCAATTGAGAAGTATCTTGTATTCCTGTGTATTTTGTCTTGCTAGGTCATTCTGGATATCTTCATCCTTTATAATCTGCAAAATAAAAATAAGAACAGATACAGAAAGCATGCACAAATAAGTAGACACACAACTATTCAGCTGATTGAAATTGAAAACAACAATATGAAAAATGAATAAAATAATTATAATTTGCGTAATCACACCAAAACTTAACACTACAATAAAGAGAGCTTTACATTAAGATTAATAAGATGCCAAAAACTTCCTCAACTATCAAATATTCTATCTAAAACCTTGCTAAAAGATTCTGAATGTCAAATCTAGAACTGTTTCTGATTTGTAAAGAATTTCTGTAACAGCTTTATATGCATATAAAATACTGTACAAATTCTGGAAAATAAAGCCATACCTTATTCATTGCAGGGTGAAAGCATTGTAATAACTTTGCCAATAATCTGGGCAGGCTCCATTGACATGGCTATTAGCTTGAAAGATACTTTTTTCAAACATCTTGCATTCTTTACTGGAGAGGTGCATAAAAAACTATGATTCACTAAGCAGCAAATTTTACTCTTTCAAATAGTACCAAGAAGAAGTATCCTAGAATAGTTGAAAAAAAACATATAAAATAATAATTAGTCATGAAATGAAATAAATCCTATTTATATGCTATCATTATTATTAACAGTAGTAGTCAGTAGTGAGTAATAGTAGAGTAATAGTAATATGAGTAGTATAATAGTAAAGGTATAGTAGTAATAGTAATAGTAATAGTAGTAAGAAGTAAGTAGTAATAGTAATAATATAGGATAGTATAAGTAATAGTAGTAGATAGTTAGTAGTAGTAGTAATAGTGTTAGTAACAGTATAGTAGTAGTAGTAGATAGATAGTAGTAGTAAGTAGTAAGTGTAGTAGTAGTAGTAGTAGTAGTAGTAGTAGTAGGTAGTAGTAGTAGTAGTAGTAGTGTAGTGTAGTAGTAGTAGTAGTAGTAGTATAGTAGTAGTAGTATAGTAGTAGTAGTAGTAGTAGTAGTCAGTAGTAGTAGTAGTAGTAGTAGTAGTAGTAGTAGTAGTAGTAGTAGTAGTAGTAGTAGTATAGTATAGTTAGTTTAATCATTATTATTACTATTACCATTATTATTACTATCATTATCACCATTATCTTTATTATCATTATCTTTATTATGATTATTATTATTGTTTAATTGTTTAATGTTTGAAAATAAATGTGCTAGACATCCAAGGCATAATAGCACAGTGGTAAAGTATTGTGCTGGAGGGCAAAGAAGAAGTTAAACGATTACGATAAAGTGCTTAAATGTCGAAAGTTTACAAGTGTTATACAATAGTATGGTAGTGATGAAAAGGGAAATAGGGAACAGTGAACTAAGCAGAAATTAGAATGAAGGAGGGTTAAGGAGTTTAAGGAGTGATTGAGTGAATCATGGTGTATCTGTCACTGGGGAAGATATAGGAAATGTTCAAGGAAGAATAGAGATAGCTTTTGAAAAGTAGGTGTCAATGATTAGAAATGGTTTATAGGAAAGTATGGTAAAAAAAAGCAAAAGAGGAAGTAAATAAAGTAGAGCAGTGACAAGTAAAATGGGAAGGGTTAAGAGGTAGAGAATTAAGTGAAATTGCATTATATCTGTGACTAGGGGGGAATAGGGATAAAGGTGATAATGGTAAGATATGGCTGTCTTAGAGAGGGGAATTAGGTATCTGAGGGTTGACATAAAGGATCAGTAGGTGAAGGAGTATGTCTGGGGGTTCGACAGAGAAAGTTGGGATCTGAGGAAGGGTATTGTGAAAAGAGAATTCACGTGTGTATAATCCAGGAGGGAATGGGAGGATAGTGGGGAAGGATGAGGTTAGAGGAGTGGATGTTTGGTTGGGCTGTATGGTGATTTGGGTGAGTTGAGAGGATGAGGTAGGTGGAAAAGAATGGGGTTTTGGGGGAGGTTTTGGTTTGGGTGTTTGAGAGGAAGGGATTGGGGGAATATAAGAGGGTAGAGTTACTGAGTGAATTGCAGTGTATCTATGACTGGGGAAGGAATAGGGACATTGTTAAGGAAAAAGAATCCAGGGGATGAGAAAGGGATGGGGAAGTTGGTGAAGTATCAAGAAATGTCTGGAGGGGAGGGTCTGGAGGATACTGTTGTGATAGAGGATTCGTGGAGTATATTCAAGCGGAAGGTAGAGAAGGTGGGTATGTGGAGGGGTAAGGAGGAGGGGGGGTGGAGGGAATTTGAGGAGAGGAGGATAGATATCAAAGCAAATACTATCAAATGCAGAAGTAGGAACGAGGGATATGGGTGGATGAGGGAGCGCGAGTGTTCCCTTTGGTTTATCTTTAGGAAGTTTTGGATGTCTTCAAAGGTTTTGGGTAAAGAGACTGAGGAGGAGAAGAGGAGATAGATATCTGAGGAACAGAAAGACGAAGTGTGATTATGTAAGGAGAAATGGAGTGAAACGTTTAGGTTGCCTGGTACGACAAATAAAGCGTCGGAGGAGGTAGGTATACGGGAAGTGGTAGAGATTGGAGTATCCTGCACTAGAAGGGGGAGGGGGAGAGGGCGTGGAAATACGGATGACTGGTGGATAGGCTGACGTAGAACATAACGGATGTTAGGTTTATGGGTATAAGTGGGGAGGAGATATCCTGGGGAAATTAGAACACCTGTAAGATCGTAGGGGGCAGAGTAAAAGAATTGTTTGGAATAAGTTGACGAGAGAAAAAACTCTATATGTCATCACGCTCCTCGTATGGCCTTCACATAGAGTGAGGCAACTAATTTAAATCTGCAGAACTGCTACTTTTTAAATCACCTTCAAGACTATATATCAGAGAAGAACTCCATAAAAGTAACAATATCGGGAGTACATGACACAATATGACAAAATGATACGTGACTCAGAGCAGAACCAATTATAAACATCCATGACCAGGTAGGGACAATAAATGGCAGTTGGCCTGTGGAGTAACAATGTTTGGCTGGGTGGCAACGCAACATTTTTCTGACATATGACAAGGAAGGATCGATATCTGTCAGACAGTGTAAACAATTCACCAATTAAACCATATAGGGAGAGGTCTGGTACGGGAAAGCTCATCTTGGCAATATTGACGTGGGTTTACACTACCTCTGGGAGGAAGAGTGTAATACTGTAACTGCCACTGTATAAGATTTAACACAGTCATGAACCAAGCCCTGTGGACATTGGGGAATAGTCTTTTTAGGTGCGGAATAGCACAAATCAGTCCATACACAAAAAGTTATTTAAGAGAGGGGTAACATTCTAAAGTAAGGCCCAAGTTAGGAGTTATAGTGCACGAGCTGAGATCAGATGTAAACCATCGAATAGGCGTGAATTGATCAGAGCACTTATGAAAGTAACCTTGACCGTACTTGTTTCTGGAGGCACGCTGAAAGAGAAGGGTATTCTCAGAAATAGGGAGCTGTGGGGGGAATCACTAAGAATTGATTCCACTTGGCAGGGCCAAGAGCGAGTTACTCAGAAGGATGCAGAGGTAGAGCAGAAGGAGGAAGGCGAGAAGAAGATGGGGGTGGTGTGAGTGGTAGTTTCTGCAGGGGAGGACAATAAGGATGAAATAGTAGTAAATAAGGAAGAGGGGGTAGACATTGAAGAAGACTGTGCAGCAGGAGATGAAGAGGAGATGTTGGGAGAGAGAAAGGGGCAGGGGTCTGAAAACCATCAAAATCAAATTGAGAATATGCTATTTGATGAAGGGGCAAGCTTAAATGCCCCTATTAAGGATAAAGAATCTTAATTATAGGCCATGGTGAGCCTGAATAAACTGGGGGAAAGGAAAGTCTACCCCTCAGGGTCCCATAAGGGGTAAGGGCTAAGCAATTAACCAAGGGATATACCATGCCCAATGGCTCCCGGGGCCATTCGTGACTGACACAAATTCAGACTTTCATCCTTTCAGCACGGCTCTCATGCCTTAGGAATGGGAAAGAAGAAGGGAATAAAGAAGATACAGAAGAGGAAAGAAAAGAAAGGACCACGCAAAATTAGTTAAGGCGAGGGTTGAGGCCCAAGGTAGGGGTGATCCCCTACATTCGTTCTCAGTCCACGTCTCCTAAGCCCTCCCATGACAACAAAGAGCTAGGTATTGGGAGGGCATAATTATCATTAACATTATCATTATTATCATCATCATCATTCCCTATATTCCTATAGAGTTGTAGGCCCACGTCAGGCGCTCAAGTTTTCTTTTGCCAGATTCAACTCTCCAGCGGGCCTTACTATGAATGGCATGCAATTACTTTCGCACGCCTTGGCGCACACATCCCTTTTCCTAGAAATGTGATTTATCACAGGCCTTGATCTATTTTTTGCTGTGAATTAAACCTTTGAAACTCAAATAATTTATCCTTCAATGATCAGTTACTTCAGCTTCAGTTTCAAGGTACTGTGTGGTTACCAAATGCAGAACAGTTTTTTTGCCAAGCAAGGGAATTATGAAGCTGGAAATTTACTACATTGAATAGTACAAGAATCCACAGCCAATGGGTTAAAGGACATATAGAAATCCCAAAGTTGATATCGGGTTCAGTTCTTACTTTGACAATAGCTGTAATAAGTACTACAGTGATCAACTGATACCCTATATTTATCAAGCAGAGTCAGCCAATACTCTTTATTTTCCCATTCATAAAATAGTTCTCAATTCAAAACTGATTATCACTTCATCATTTGTACTATTCAATGTAGTAAATTTCCAGCTTCATAATTCCCTTGCTTGGCAAAAAAACTGTTCTGCATTTGGTAACCACACAGTACCTTGAAACTGAAGCTGAAGTAACTGATCATTGAAGGATAAATTATTTGAGTTTCAAAGGTTTAATTCACAGCAAAAAATAGATCAAGGCCTGTGATAAATCACATTTCTAGGAAAAGGGATGTGTGTGCGCCAAGGCGTGCGAAAGTAATTGCATGCCATTCATAGTAAGGCCTGCTGGAGAGTTGAATCTGGCAAAAGAAAACTTGAGCGCCTGACGTGGGCCTACAACTCTATAGGAATATAGGGAATGATGATGATGATAATAATGATAATGTTAATGATAATTATGCCCTCCCAATACCTAGCTCTTTGTTGTCATGGGAGGGCTTAGGAGACGTGGACTGAGAACGAATGTAGGGGATCACCCCTACCTTGGGCCTCAACCCTCGCCTTAACTAATTTTGCGTGGTCCTTTCTTTTCTTTCCTCTTCTGTATCTTCTTTATTCCCTTCTTCTTTCCCATTCCTAAGGCATGAGAGCCGTGCTGAAAGGATGAAAGTCTGAATTTGTGTCAGTCACGAATGGCCTCCGGGAGCCATTGGCATGGTATCCCCTTGGTTAATTGCTTAGCCCTTACCCCTTATGGGGACCCTGAGGGGTAGACTGTTCCTTTCCCCCAGTTTATTCAGGCTCACCATGGCCTATAATTAAGATTCTTTATCCTTAATAGGGGCATTTAAGCTTGCCCCTTCATCAAATAGCATATCTCAATTTGATTTTGATGGTTTTCAGACCCCTGCCCCTTTCTCTTCCCCAACATTCTCCTCTTCATCTCCTGCTGCACAGTCTTCTTCAATGTCTACCCCCTCTTCCCTTATTACTACTATTCATCCTTATTGTCCTCCCCCTGCAGAACTACTCCACTCAACACCACCCCATCTTCCTCTCGCCTTCCTCCTTCTACTGCCTCTACCTCTGCAAACCTTCTGAGTACTCTCTTTGGCCCCGCCAAGTGGAATCAATTCTTAGTGATTCCCCCCACAGCTCCCTATTCTGAGAATACCCTTCTCTTTCAGCAGTGCCTCCAGAAACAAGTAGGCAAGGTTACCTTTCATAGTTGCTCTGATCATTCACGCCTTGTCATGGTTACATCTGAATCTCAAGCTCGTGCACTATCTACCCTAACTGGCCTTACTGGCAAACCCATTCCTGCAGAACGTTACCCCTCTCTTAATACTTGTACTGGAACTGTTTCTATTCCCCCAAATGTTTGTCCCATGTATGCCAAGGGCTGGTCAGACTGTGAAATCGATACAGTGGCAGTACAGTATTACACTCTTCCTCCCAGAGGCTAGTGTAAATCCCACATCAATATTGCCAAGATTAGCTTCCGTAGACAAGATCTTCCCCATGAGGTTTATATTGGTGAATTGTCTTATCATGTCTGACAATATCGACTCCTTCCTCGTCAATGTCAGAAATGTTGGCGTTTTGGCCACCCAGCCAAACATTGTTGCTCCACAGGCCACTGCCCTCTATATGCCCAACCTGGTCATGACTGTTCAAATTGCTCTGCTCAGTCACGTACATGTGCCAATTGTGCAGACTCCCATATGTATTTTATAGGAGCTGCCCTGCCTATAAGTTTGAAAGTGAGGTAGCAGTTCTCAGATTTAAATTAGGCCTCACTCTATGTGAGGCCAGATAGGAAGCATGACAAAGAGTTTTTTCTCTCTCAACTTATTCCAAAACAGTTCTTCACTCTGCTCCCCTACTATCTTCACAGGATGTTTCTAAATTTCCCCAGGTATCTCTCCCCTATACCCTAAACCTACATCCTATGTCTACTCACCCTATCCACCAGTCAAATCCGTTTTCCATTCTAGATGCAGATACTCCAATCTCTACCACTTCCCCGATACCTACCCCTCCTCCACGCTTTATTTGTCGTACCAGGCAACCTAAACGTTCCACTCCATGTTCTCCTACTACATTCTCTCCTACACCTTCGTCTTCTGTTCCTCAGATATCTATCTCCTCTTCTCCTCCTCAGTCTTCTTTACCCAAAACCTTTGAAGACATCCAAAACTTCCTAAAGATAAACCAAGGGAACACTCCGCTCCCTCATCCAACCCCCAAATCCCTCTGTTCCTACTTCTGCATTTGAAGTATTTGCTGATATCTATCCTCCTCCTCCTCAAATTCCCTCCACCCCCCCTTCCTCCTACACCCTCCCAACATACCCCACCTTCTCTACCGCTTCCGCTTGAATACTCACACGAATCCCTTCTATCACAACAGTATCCTCCAGACCCCTCCCCTCCAGACATTCTTCCTGATACTTCACCAATTTCCCCAGTCCCCCTTTCTCATCCCCTGGATTCTGTTTTCCTTGAACAATGTCCCTATTCCTTCCCCAGTCATAGATACACTGCAATTCACTCAGTAACTCTACCCTCTTATATTCCCCCAGTCCCTTCCTCTACAAAACCCAAACCAAAACCTCCCCCAAAACCCCATTCTTTTCCACCTACCTCATCCTCTCAACCACCCAAACCACCCATACAGCCCAAACCAACCATCCCCAAAACCTCATCCTTTCCCACTATCCCTCCCATTCCCTCCTGGATACACACGTGAATCTCTTTTATCACAATACCCTTCCCCAGATCCCAACTTTCCTGTCGAACCCCCAGACACTACTCCTTCACCTACTGATCCTTTATGTCAACCCTCAGATACCTAATCCCCTACTACTAAGACAGCCATATCTACCATTATCACCTATTATCCCTATTCCTCCCCTAGTCACAGATATAATGCAATTCACTTAATTGCTCTACCTCCTTAACCTTTCCCATTTACTTGTCACTGCTCTACTTTATTTACTTCCCTCCTTTTGCTTTTTGTTACCATACTTTCCTATAATACCTTCTAATCATTGACACCTACTTTTCAAAAGCTATCTCTATTCTTCCTTGAACATTTTTCCTATATCTTCCCCAGTGACAGATACACCATGATTCACTCAATCACCCTAACTCCTTAACCCTCCCCTTCATTCTAATTTCTGCTCTAGTTCACTGGTTCCCCTATTTCCCTTTTCATCACTACCATACTATTCTATAACACTTAAACTTTCGACATTTAACACTTTTATCGTAATCTTTAACTCTTCTTTGCCCTTCCAGGCACAATACTTTACCACTGTGCTATATGGCCTTTGATGTCTAGCACATTTATTTTCAAACATTAAACAATTAAACAATAATAATAATCATAATAAAGATAATGATAATAAAGATAATGGTGATAATGATAGTAATAATAATGGTAATAGTAATAATAATGACTACTACTACTACTACTACTACTACTACTACTACTACTACTACTACTACTACTACTACTACTACTACTACTACTACTACTACTACTACTACTACTACTACTACTACTACTACTACTACTACTACTACTACTACTACTACTACTACTACTACTACTACTACTACTACTACTACTACTACTACTACTACTACTACTACTACTACTACTACTACTACTTACTACTATACTATTACTATACTATACTATTACTACTACTACTACTACTACTATTACTATTACTACTGTTACTACTATTACTACTACTACTACTACTGTTAATAATAATGATAGCAATATAAATAGGATTTATTTCATTTCATGACTAAATATTAATATTTTGATATGTTTTTTTTTTCAACTATTCTAGGATGACTTCTTCATGGAGACATTTGAAAGAGTAAAAAATGCTGCTAGTGAATCCATAGAAGCAAGTACCAGAGGCTCAGTAAAGAATGCAAGATGTTTGAAAAAAGTACTATTACTTCAAGCTAATAGCCATGTTTATGGCAGCCTCCCAGAACTATTGGCAAAGTTATTACAGATGCTTCCACCAACTGCAATAGAAAAGGTATGGCTTATTCCAGAATTTGTACAGTATTTTATATGCATATAAGCTGTTACAGAAATCTTTTACAAATCAGAAACAGTTCTAGATTTGACATTCAGAATCTTTAGAAGGCCAAGGTTTAGATAGAATATTTGATAGTTTGAGGAAGTTTGGCATCTATTAATCTTAATGTAAAGCTCTCTTTTATTGTAGTTGTAAGTTATGGTGTGATACGCCAAAATAAATTATTTAATCATATATTTCATAGTGTTGTTTTCAATTTCAATCAGCTGAATAGTTTGTGTCTACCATTTGTGCATTGTATCTGTATCTGTTCTTATTTTTATTTTGCAGATTATAAAGGATGAAGATATCCAGAATGACCTGGCAAGACAAAATACACAGGAATACAAGATACTTCTCAATTGCATCAAAGACAGTCTCACTGGGAATTCTATAAGAGATGCTGTGAAGAAATTGTCAGTTGCAAAAGAGGAGTTATCAGATTTTGATCCACATACTGATGAGGAAAACCATGGCAGTCCTAATTCCACTGCAGAGCATGAGAGTCAGATAGATTCTTCTGATATAACAATTCATGAAGAGATGGATATTATTCAAGTCAATGGTAAACTCTGGACAGTTAAGAAATGTGCAAGTGTCCCAGTTGATGTCAAGAATCTAAGTTGTATAGAGTCTTTATCTGAAGACAGTGCTGAAGAAGGTATTGCAGATGATATGGAACAACAGGAAGCATCTTACTTTAGGCATGACAATGAAATCATAGTTCACAATGGAAAAGTATGGGAAGTAAAACCCACTAAAGTGTTGGCTGTGAACTCCCAAGATATTCTAACTGATGACAGTGAATATGACTCACAAATGGAAGATCCAAGAATTACAGAAGCAAGATATGAGGATTCAGAAATTAGGGAATTAGAAGAATTGATAAGGACAATGGAAAAGTATGTTACAAAACTTAAATATAAATTAAAAATCATGAAAGATAGACGGGGAACTCAGAGATACAGACCCCAAACTCCAGATGAAGATCAGGGGCATTTTGAACCAAAGACAAGCGGTGGGAGTGAATTAGAAAGACATTCATTGCAACAGAAATCCCCAAGTAATGATGGAAGATCATCAAATTTTAATAATGTGGAGGGCAGGCAGTGTACTGTCGGAACTTCAAGTGAAGATTGTGAAACTCTCAGACTATCTGGTAGCACTTCCAGTAGTACAGTTAATCAGCAAAAACAGGATTTAGATAAAATAAGACAAATACTTTGTAAAAAACTAACAAACAAAACTACAGCAAAATCTGGATGTAAAACTCCTTATAATAGGGGAAAACAGTCTAGAAATAATGAAAATATGCTTTCTCAGTTAAAACCTGAAATTATTACTTATGTGTCATCATCATCTCAAGAAGACAATGGGGATGATGATTGTGACAATTTACAATGTTTCCAGAGAGTTGTTAATAATATAAATGTTATACCAGAAACTCCTGAACTTTCAGAAAGACAATTTAAGGAAGACCCAGGCACATATTTAGAAGAACCAGAATGGAAAAACACAAATAAAGAAAATGTAAAACCAAAGACACAATATTTGTGTACAAATTTCTTAAAACATGAAGGCAATATGCATGCAGATGATGGTACTGATAGTGATACCACCTACTATACTCTTTGTGACCAGAGTGCTTCTGTGAATCCTGAAATGGGAGACATAATGAACATACGTACTTTGAAAGGCAAAGGTTTAGATCAATCTAAAGGTAAAAAACAAGAGATAGAGATTTGTGAACTTGTGATTTGTGATGAAGTGCTACAGAAAAGAGACAAATACAAAAGAAAATTGGTAAGTATTGCTAGAGAAGTTGAAGACCTAACAGATTCAGATGACCTTGCTTCTCGAATCAAAATTAGCCCAAGAAAATGTTCAACAAAATCATCAAGACATCAGGCCTTGACTAACATTAACTCATCTACAAAATGCTGTGAGAAAAAGAGAAAAGTCTCTAATGAATTTTTAGACAAAACTAATGAGATTGAGGAAAGAAACAAAGTTACTGACACATCTGAAGATACAACTTTACAAGATGAAGATGTTTACCACACACCAATGAACAGTCCAGAACCAGCACCAAAGCGTGCCAGAGTTTGCAGTGAAATAGAAGTTTCTCCAGTTACTGATGTAACAACAAGCACAAGCAATGTCCAGGTGAATTTTCTTAATTATTGAATATAAAACAATATCTATGTTTGGCATTTTTAAACAAAGCATGATTTACATGTAACACAACATTGAAAGACATTTGGATGATGTATTGATTGATATTGAAATTGATATGCTTGTGAAACCTAGAATGTTTACAAGTTTTGTTAACAAATGGCAGTACTGGTACTGCAATTGTTACTTTTGTATATCCATGCAACAATAATAGTAGACGTCATTGCACATAATTTTTTTTTCCTGATTTTGCCGGGGATGGCATGTATGTACATGCCATGCTCACTGTTTAGTAATTGCCTTTATGGATAGATGACTTAACAAGTATGTAGTCACCAATGAGTCAATTAGCTTACTAGTGCTAACTATTTCACTTGTTTACCCTTTTCCTACTGTGAAAACTGCGTTTCCCTGGCAACATCAGGTTAACAGATATGACTATGTCTTGTTATAGCCACAAGCAAAGCTTAAGCTATTTTTCATATTTGTTTTTAATAAATGTCCCCTGAATCCCATGCTTGTTTTTGGTGGTGGGTAGGGCTTAGGACACTGAGGCTGAGGCCCAATGCTAAGGATCAGGGTGTGAGCCCTCAACTCAACAAATTTTGAATGGTCTTCCCTTTTCCCTTTTCCTTTCCAATTCCCAAGGTGTGAGAGCTGTGTTAGAAGGAAGAATGGCTGACTCTGTGCCAATCATGAACAGCCCAGGGGAGCCATGGGCACAGTATTCCCATTTAGTTATCCTTACCCCTCAAGGGGACCCTGAGGGGTAGACCATTTCTCTCACCAAAAAACTCTAGGCTTACCATGACCAGTAATGATTTTGCACCTTCATTAGGGTCAATGAGGTTTGCCCCTTTATTGAGTAGTCCCACTGATATTAATTCCCCTGATTTCTTGACTCCAGGCTCTCTTTTAACCATGACTCTGAACACTGCTACTACCCTCTCTTTAGTGCGTACTGTACACAGTACTGCTTCACTCAGCACCACTTCCTCTGCTAAAAGTACTCTGTTTAGCCCAGCCATATGGGATAAATTTTTTGTGATCCTTACTCTGACAACACTGATCTTCCAGCAGTGCTTCCAAAAAAGGTAGGCAAAGCTTCCTTCTGCAGCCTCCTGCCTTGTCATAGTTACATCTGAATCCCAAGGTAAAGCATTATCAACCCTTACCTGGTCATGATTGATCAAACTACTATGAACAATTACATGTGCAGATCCCACTTTGTACTTTATAGGGGCAGGCCTACATACAAGTTTGTGTCTGAGGTGGCAATTCTCAAATTCAAACTTGGCCTCACTTTATATGAGGCCAGCACGCAGATAAGGTTTTTCTATTGCTTCCTACTTAAGCACTGTCCTTCATTCAGCCCCTTCAGAAACTCTCAAAGACATTGAAAACTATCTAATAATGCTCCCATTCTCTCTACACTCAAAGTGACTGCCAACATCCATCTTGCTCCTAACCATATTTTCCCTACATCCTTTTCCCCCTTGCCCTCCCAACAAATACCATTCCCCCCCAGCTACATCATCCTACCTTCCTTTCCCATATCCCTTCTGATTCCACCATGATACATGCTTTCCTTTGTCACAACAACCCTCTTCTTGATCTCTCTCTAGACATTTTTCCTAAATTTTTGATGTAATCACCTTTAGACCCCTTTCTCCTTTTGCTATTCCCTACCTTATCCTACAGACATCCTTGTAGAATCCCACACTTCCTCATTTAACAACTTTGATGTAATCACCCGTCTCTTTCCCCTTTTCACAGCTCAACGCTGCCTCTGAATCTTACAAACTCTTTCACACATCTCCTGGGGCTCAGATCGCAAAACTCTCCTCCATCTTCATGTTACCTTGATTCTCTCCACTCTAGATTATGGATGCCATTTCTACTCCTCTGCCTCAACCTCTCTTCTTGCTGCTCACCTTGATACAATCCACCACAGCGGTCTCCGCTTAGCCCTAGGAGCTTCCGCTCCTCTCCAGTTGAGAGCCTATATACTGAATCTGGCATGCCGTCCCTCTCTCGACGTCGAGCACTTCTCTCTCTCCGATGCTATGCTCGATTTCACCAATTTTCCCTTACCAAACTAACTATTCCACAATCCTTGCTTCATACCTTTACCTCTTCTCCACGTTTACCAACTCCACTCCCCGTACGTATGGATACACTCCTCTCCCATTCCCCCTTTCCTCACCTCCAACATCTCCCACGTTCTGTCCATTCCATTCCTCCTCCATGGCTTATACCTAACCCCTGTATTTGTTCCTCAGTTTTCCCTGACCCACCAAAATCAGATATTCCCCCCTCTATCCTTCTCACTCATTTCCATGACCATGTCTCCATTCATTCCTCCAGCATTCATGATTACACTGACGGTTCCAAATCCATCTCAGGAGCTGGATTCGCAGTAACATTCCCAAACTGCACTTTCAAATACACCCTCCTTCCTGAATCTAGTGTCCTTACTACAGAACTGTATGCACTCCTTTTTGCCTTAAGACACATACTCATCCCCCTCTTCCTCTTTTACTATTTTTACTGACTCCGTAACTCTTTAACCCTCATAAAGTCTATACACTCGACCAATCCCCTTGTCTGTAAGATCCAGAACTGGTTGTTCTATCTATCCACGCGGCACAAATCTGTCAGATTTTGCTGGGTACCCAACCATGTTGGAATCCCTGGCAATGAACAGGCAGATACTCTTCCACGCTATGCCGCAATGTCCACATCACCTCAACTACGCTTCTCACATATTCCAGCTACGGATTATTACCCCCACTTTAAAACCTTCTTGTATAACCGATGGCAGTCTTTTTGGTAAAGACTCCACAACAATAAATTACATACTGTAAAACCATCAATCTCCTCTTGGTCAGCTCCATTTCACAAAAACAGATGTTGGGAGACGGCCCTCGCACACTTACGTATTGGCCACACTCACCTAACACACGCCTATCTAATGTCACGTTCAGACCCGCCCCTATGTCCTCTATGTAATGTCCCTATTTCAGTTCCACACATTCTCTTGTCCTGTCACGCTTTAATACAGCACGTACCTCTGCTTTTCCACACTATCCTCCCTTCACCGATCTCCAACATATCAGATATCCTTACAGAATCCCACAGCTTCTGCCTTGACAACCTGTTCTCCTTCCTCAGATGCATGAATATCCTTCACTTGATCTAACTCCCTTACCTAAACCACCATAACCATTTCCCCCATCTTCAACCTTTCAACACTACTCTAGATAGTTGACACATAGACATCCCCCTTTACTATACCTTCCTATAGTGCTATATGACCTTAGATGTCTAGCACATTTATTTTAACCATTAACCATTAACCATTTCCCCTTTTCACTAGTACACCTTTCTGCAGTGCTACATGACCTTTGATGTTTAGCACATTCATTTTCCTTCCCAAAGCACCAGCAGACCAGAGTAAATAAAATTTTGATTAGGTACTGTCAAATACACAAGACTGGCATGTCTCAATTAATGAAGGAACAAACTCTGCTTTACAATATTCTTGACCTACATGTAATACAATACAGTCAGCTGCCTTGTTAATCCCTATCTTAACTTATTTACTCACCCTCTCTACCCTTACCTCTCTTTGCCCATCCAATGCCATACTATCCTGAATTGCTTTACATTTTTTTTCTTCATTTGTAGCACATTTAATGACCTCTGATGTGTAACACATTTATTTTGCTTAGAAATTATTCTTTATGAATTTAGTTTCATTATTTATAGTTGGTCCTACATTGAAGGTTGATCTATTATTAAAGACTTTTTGATGCTTCTATTTTCCTATTTTGTTCCTTGGTCATCTTGAGAGACAAATGAACACAGGAAGCCCCAATTAAATACTATGTGTTACCGTATGAATGACTACAATTTCTTGAATAACTGTTTATCTGCTTGAAGGAGGATAGTTAGTAGAGCTTTATATTTTTATTCTAATTTTTCCGCAGTCTTTCTTAGGATACATGTAAGTATTTTTGAAAATACAAAATTCAGATTTTTTGGCTTTCTTATTTTTACTAATTATAATCAAAAGGAGGGACTTAAAAATCAGATAGGTATCATTTAAGTTGAAGGAAATGAATGTCATGATACTGTACTGAATCAGATGGCTTAACAGAATGCATTTTTTTGGTAAATATAAGTTGGTGCTTTATCAAATCTGTACCAGGATTAAACTCCAAATTTTATGTCTCAGTTGATTTATTTACATTACTAATCACCTCCCCACCTATCCCATGCCCATTGTAACTTGGTGGGGAGGGGTAAGGAGATGAAAATTGGGATCCAAGGCTGGGGGTCATCTCTGCCATGGGCCTCAGTCCTCGACGCGACTAATTTTGCATGGTCTTTTATTTTTCCTCTTTCTACTATCCACTCCCTAAGGTGTGAGAACTGTGTTGAAAGGATGAAAGGCTGACTTTGTCTCTCCCCATGCTCCAGACTCACTATGGCCATTTATCAAGACTTTACTCCCTTATTAGGGGTACCGAGGCTTGCCCCTTTATCAGCTAGCCCCCAGTTTTTAAATTCTCCCAATTTTC